CTATGAACTAGGAAGTGTGAACTTACCAGATACCAAATACGCCAGCACCTTGATCTCGGACTTCCCAGCCTCACGAACTGTAAGAAATAAATCACTGTTGCTTACAAGCAACCCAGTGTATAGTATTTTGTTATAGCAGCCTGAATAGACTAAGACTATAAGAAAATTGAAATCTATTCAAAGGAGGAATCAAACGAGCTCTCTAGAACTAAAAATTAGATAAAGTGAAATTAAGGATGCAATAGATAGGCATAATAATAGGTTAGACACAACTGAAGGAAGGAAAATGACCTGGAAAATGGATCCAAGGAAAAGATATCCAGATTGAAGTATAGAGAGAACAAAGCTAGAAAAGAGACTAGGAGAATATTGGACAAGATGTCAAAATCTAGTATATGTGTGATTAGAGTCCCAAAGGGGAAAATAGGAGCAAAAGAGAGAGAATTAATATCTGAAGATATAATAGCCAAGAATTCTTTAAAATAAATAAAAAATATCAAGCCCCAGATTCAAAAGGCAATATGAACCTCAAGTATGATAAATATGAAGAAAAACACACCTAGGCAAACCACCAAAATGTGACCAAAAAAAAGAAAAAAAGAGAAGAGATAACCTTCAAAACATCTAGAGAAAAATTACAAGTTTTTATTTTCAAGGAGAAAAATGACCCTTACAATAACTCAGTAGAAATAAATGAAGCCAGAAAACAATGCAATTACATCTTTTAAGTAAAAAGAAAAAAAACCTACCAGCTTAGAAATGTATAATCAGTAAAAATATTCTTCTAAAATGAAGACAAATAAAGACATTTTTAGACAAACTAAAATTATAACATTGTTGCCCACAGATTTTCATAAGAGAAGTATTACAAGTACTTTTTGAAGCAAAAGGAAAATTATAATAGAAGCACAGAAATGCAGGAAAGAATAAAAAACTATGAAATCTTAAGTATGTATGTCTAAATAAATAAATATAAACTGAAAATAATTATAATTTCACACTATGCGATAAAAAGTATTTATAGAATTAAAATGCATGACAACAATAATTCAAAAGGCAAGGCATGGCAATAAATGCTATTAAAGTGTTCTAAGATCCTCATATAGTCTAAGAAGTAATAAAGATTCCATTTATATTAGACTCTTACAGGTCAAGGATTGATGTTATGATTTCTAATATAATTAATGTGTAACTAAAAAGCTAAAGGAAGGAAAATGCAATTATAAAAATATTTTATGAAAGCTAAAGGATGCAAAAAAAAAAAACCCACAAAAAAGAGACCTAGAACAAGCAGAACAAATGGAAAACAGAGATAATAGATTTAACATCAAATGTATCAATGATTACATCACATATAAGTGGCCTAGTAAAAGTGTAAAGCAATTTCATGGCTTTGCAAAACTTTTTGACAACTTCTGACAAAATTACATGTACATCTATCCTATGACCCAGAAATATCAACCCTTTGTATTTCTCCCAAGAGAGGCGGAAATGTATACACATACAAATGCTTATAAGAACTTTATACATAATATGCAAAAAATGGAAACAAGTCAATTCTACGTTGACAGAAAAACAGTCATACAATGTTATACTACTCAGCAATAGAAAAGAATATGTTGCTGATACATGCTAAGCACGTCTCAGGTGTTTCACGTGGAGCAAAGGCAACCATATCCCGAAGCTTACATGCTGTATCATTCATTTATATGAACTGCATATTTAATTTCATTTATGGTATTAGAGCTGAGAACAACGATTGTCTATGAGAGTGGAATGGAGATTGCCCGTAATGTGGCCAACAGAACTTTCTGGGACTACGAGAAAGTTCTATATTTGACTGAGGTGTTGCTTACATGGGTGTATACATTTGTAGGAACTCATCATGTTATACATTTAAGATACATCTCACTGTATGCAAATTTCACTTCAATAAAAAATTGAAAGCAAACAGCAAAAACCCATGCATAAAAATAAGTGGACTAAATACTCTAAATGTTTTTAAAAACTACCAGACTGGGTTTTTTGAAATCCAAATTAAATGCTGCTTAAAAGACACATTAACAAAGACACATGAAAAGACAAAGAAAGGCTGCAAGCAAAAGCACGAGAAAAAGATATTTCATGCAAACACAAATTCAAATAAAACTAGCATATATAAACTAATATCAGACAAAGTAGAGGAAAGAAAGTAAGGAAAGAAGCATTGCTAGACATAAAAAGAGATATTCTTTCACATTCCTCCACAAAAAAGATAAAACAACTCTAAATTTGTATGCACCTACTAATATATGCCTGCAAAATATATAGTGCAAAAATTTCCAGAATATAAAGAGAGGTAGAAAGTTCATAGTGAGAGATTTTAAATACCTATCTCAGTAATGGAAAGAGAAATCAGACAAAAAAATCATTAAGGTTCTAAAAGATTTGAACAATTATTCTAACACTCTTGACCTAATTGACTTAATATATGACAAAGCACCAAGAACTGCAGAATGTACATTATTTTTCAAATAAACATTGAGTAGTTATCAAAACTGTATGCAGTTCTAGAAAGCAAGCTGTGACAAATTTCAAAGGAATTTAATCAGAGTATTTCTCCAGTATAATGAAATCAATAACAGTCAAATCACTGTAAAACCATCTTAGGTTCGGAAATTGAGTAATTCATAAAGAAAGAAAGAAAGAAAAAGAAAGGAAGAAAGAAAGAAGGAAAGAAAGAAAGAAAGAAAGAGAAAGAAAGAAAGAGAGGGAGAAGGAAAGGAGGGAGGGAGGGAGGAAGTGGAATTTTTAGATACCAATCATAAAAGTCCAAATTGGTACCATCGGTTTTGAAAACAGGTAGTATCAAATGAAACTGAAAAAAAATGCATGTCCATTGAAGCAGCAATTCCACTCCTAAGAATGTACTCAAGAGAAATGCATACATAAAAAACACATGTACAGAAATGTTTACGGCAACACTATTTGAAATAGTCCCAAATTGGTTGACATTCCCTTCAAAAGATCATCAAACCATTACAGTAGATAATGGTGCCATATTCGTAATATTCATTCAATATATCATCATGTGAAAATGAATGAACTGTAGATATATGCAACTTGGATAATTATCAGTTTTGAGTAAATAACACAGAAGTATGCATATTTTGTGACCCTGTGTATATAAAGTTCATCTCTATAAATTATGTTAATGGCTATCAGGATAGTAGTTACCTTTGGGGAAGAAAAGAATTGTTAAAGACTGTAAGAGGGCAAAAAGGGGGCTTTGGGATGCTAACAATGTTCTATCTTCTGACACGGAAACTGGGCTGTGACTAACTGGCGTGTTCATTTTGTGGAAATTCATGGAGCTTTACACTTAGGATTTATGGAGCTATCTATATGTATATATTATTTATACTAAAAAGTTAAAATGAAAATATGGGGAATTTCTTTTGAATATCTTCAGTAATGGCAAATGTTCACTTCTTTGAGGGTGTGAACTTTTTGAAAAAAATCAAAGGTAATTTTGAAGCTGTTGAGTAAAGTGGTGATTAAACCAAGGAAAGGTGTTCTGACCAGAAAGGAAGTGCAGCTGTAACATAATGAGATTCTTTATTGAAGCACAGAAAGTGGTCACAAAAATATCATTTCAAAAGGGGACTTCCAAGAATTTTAATGGTTAGAAAAAACTGATAGGAATAAGTGTACTGTTTGTATGAAATCATGCTATTTGATCATGAAGGCATGTATTTAACTGTGCTTCCATATATAGCTTCTCATTTGGGCCACTCCAAAAATCTGGTGAAGTAAGGCTTATAATCACTTTACGAAGGCAGGGGTTAATATCCCATTCCTTTAAATTTTGGAGGGGAAGAGAAAGATGAGGGGGAATTTCAGGAAGGTGGTCAAAAGGAACAAACCTTTGTTATAAGATATAAGATAAATAAGTACTAGGGATGTAATATGCAGCATAAGGACTATAGTTTACACTGCTGAATGTTGTATAGAAAAGTTGTTAAAAGAGTAGATCCTGAGTGCTCATCATGAGGAGAAAATTTGGTTTTTTTTCTTTTTGCACCTATATGAGATGATGGATGTTAATTAAACCTATTGTGGTAATCATTTTACAATATATGCAAATCGAACCATCATGCTATACACCTTAAACTTATACAGTGATGTATGTCAGCTATTTCTCAATGAAACTGGGGAAAAAATATTAGAATTACAGAGAGAGACAGACATGCAGACAGAGAGACAGAGAGAGAGAGACAGAGACAGGTAGGCTACCCAGGCAGTGAGTTACCCAAGATTACACACAGTGGGAAAGTGCTAGAGGCTGAATTTGTCCAGCATCTTCTGATTCCTGCCCATTTTCTAGTGCCACGCATTCTGGAGAGTAATAAGGATATCTGTATTTCTTTTTATCTTTGAGCTGTTTCCTCATCTACACTACTCTTTTGAGCCATATAGCATGTTAAGCTTCTGATCATGTATTAAACTAACACACCATTCATAGTATTTGTAAGGCAGCAATTTTAATGTTGTAAGATCGAGCAGTTTTATATCTCGGTTTATGCCATCCATGAATGATAAACTCAGTAAGAAAAATTTTTAAATCAATATTTTTCTTGAACCATTGACAGCAATACCTTTTAAAATCAAGCTTTTCTTTTGGGGTGAATTTATATGATTCCATTATTTTCTCGTGCAGAACTGGGCAGCTATTTAAATTCAAGTACAGAGTTCCTCTTTCAAGTTTGTTAACACATTCAGTAGTGTTTGGATGATATCTCAACCTACTTCGTTTTTTTTTTTTTTTTTTTTTTACTTTTCTCTCATGCAGTATTTCTTTCTTTTTTTTTTAAACATCTTTATTGGGGTATAATTGCTTTACAATGGTGTGTTAGTGTCTGCTTATAACAAAGTGAATCAGTTATACATATACATATGTTCCCATATCTCTTCCCTCTTGCATCTCCCTGCCTCCCACCCTCCCTATCCCACCCCTCCAGGTCAAGCTACTTCTGATGAATTACTCTGTCCTCAGGGAATTAACTTGGAGCATAGAGAGATAACTTACTTCCCCATATAATGCATTTTACACAGTAGATGACCAACAAATATTTGCAGGATGCATTAATGAATGGATGGATGATTAACGATACGTAGCACTTTAATTAGAAGAGAGGCTCAGATCATCCCACTATTTCAGGACCATACCTTGGACATGCTGTAATGTTCTCTGCCCTTTCTAACAACTTACGCAGTTGTGCTAGGCAATGCTGGAAATGCTTGTGATACCACACATTCACATATAGGTGGGTGATTCTCACTTTACTGTTAATTTGAGTTTTGTAGCTTTTTGGTGTTTTTATTTTTCACTGTGTAGAATCCACATGATCTATAGAAGACAATAGCTAAGAGGTATAACCGGAGCCAAATTAAGCCTTGGCTGATGTATTTCAGAAGATGATGTTATCTCGGATTTCTTGTGAGAGGTGGGGAAAGACAATGATTTTTCTTTGTTCACCTTTCTTGACCTATGTTTACAGCTGTGAGTTTTAACAAATTGGTGGCCTATATACTTACATGCAGAGATCACATGGTGAAACAACTTTTACAAAATCAGAGACTTCTTATATTTCCAGCATTTCATTTTTCTCCAATTTCCGTGTATCAGTTCAAACAGGAAAGAGAAGGCTAACTCAAAGGATTAAGAGAATATTGACAGAGCTATGGGAAAGTTTAAAATGGGGCTGTCCTACAAAATAAAACATGCACTGAACATACAACTCAGCAATTGTACTTTTGGGCATTTATCTCAGAGAAATAAAAACTTACGTTCATAGAAGCTGTATTCCTAGAGCGCGAAGAAAGGCAGAGAAAGGCCTGGGGGCCAGAGAGCAGGGGGCAAATAGAGAAAACTGCATGTCTCTGCTATAAGCAAATATTTTCTTCTAGTATTTCCCAGAGTGAGATTTTTCTTTTAAAAGTCGTATTTATTTTTCTGAAATTTCATTACATGTTTTTCAGTTGTCTATGTATGCTTCTGCCTAGTCGGCCCTATGATCAGTATCATTCTACAGGTTGTGAACCTGTGTCTATAATTTTTGTACAGTAAACAAACACCTTGTAAATTGGATACATTTCATTTCTTAAATTTTAATTAAGGGTATTTATTAAGCTCTCACAATAAGTAAGTCTTGCCGGAGAAACAATTAAAGGTGGGAAAAGGGGGGAGAGGGTTTCCCTGACCTCTAAGTTATTCATAACCCTATGCAGAAGATAGAAATATTTACCAAAACCCACCAGTACATGGAACAAACTGAAAGGGAGGGGAGGCTGTGTCTTTAATCAGGTGTAAAATTCCAAATTGAAATATTGACGTCCTTACGCGTAGAGCTTTAAATTTCCGCGGCAGTCGTGCGAGTGTTTGTGGTGGGGGGGTGAAGTGAGAGCTGTGATACTTCTGCATTTCATCCCAGGAACGTAGTTAGCGGAGACTTGAGATGCCTTTGCATTTCTGGGGCAGATTAGGCTTCCTTCCACTCTTCATAATTTTCCTGCAGAAACTCGAGATGGTTTTTTCCGCAGTCACCTTGTCCCTCTTCCCGTCTCATGTTGCAACTATCTGGACTTCATCAATCTTTCCGCCTTAATCCCTGACCAAATCTTCTCCTCTTTTCCTGCCACATCACAACATTTGAAGAGAAACAAACTTACGATTTGATCTTAGTTTTTTAACAAGATAGAAAAAATTATGCATATCATCTATTAATTTTGAAATGTAGGCCTGAATGAAATAAATATCCTCTAACCAGCTTTGCAGTATTTTCATCTGAGGAAATGTAAAAGGATCCGCATCTCCTCTAAAGTATTTATTTAGATTTTTTTTTCTTTAAAGCTGTGTTTTCTTGCATTTGATTGTCACCAGCAAATATAAGAAGTGATGAGTTTTCCTAACGGCTGGAACGAAACAAGATCTCTCATTAAGTAGCAAAGAATCCAACAGCCTTTGTTCTTTGTGTTCACTTTCCTTACACAATGACTTCTAATTTGCCCAACTGTTACCTTCAAAGTAAAAGGAAGAATCTGATTTATAATCAACACAATTTGCTCAGTTTTACAAAAATTGTTTGGTTTAAATAATTTGTACAGAATGAAGATGTCAAAAACACTTCAGATTTTACTTATCTTCTAAAACAGATTTGCTTTGAAATCCAATCTAACTAGTATATACATTTTGAGTCTATTAGTCTTTAATAAAAGATAGTGGATATTTTTATCAGACTGCCTCTGCAGAATAATACCACTACTCTGCATTTTAAAAAAAGCATCTTTATCTTGAAAAAGTTGGAATATCTTTCATCTCATTGTATCCTAATTCAGGGGCAGTAGAATCCATCTTGCAGATGAAGGATTGAGACAGAGACAAATGATTTGTTGTCCAAAGTGACATCTGCATAAGGGCTGGCCCTGCGTGAACTTAAGACCCTCACATCCAGCGCCACTTGCTCTGCTCGCAGTAGCCAACAGTGCAGGAGCAACGGGGACTGATGTAAAAGCTCCTATCTCCCTCTGCAATTCCAGCAGCAGTGGTCACTGCCCTTCTGAAGATGGCTGCTGCAGGCACACTTTAAAAGTAGAAACTCAGGAAGTAAGAGAAAGCGTTTGGGTTTGTTTTCTGGGGCAGGAGAACTCCTCTTAGCAGGATGCTAAACTGGTCACTCCTGGAAGTCACACTTTTCATTCCCAAAATGACAGCTTTCTAAAGGAAATAAATAACCCCCCCCATCCTGCATATTGCCAGGGAACTCCGTGGAAAAAGACGTGCGACCCAGGGCAGTGTGCTGCAGAGGCTGCATGCGCTGGGGCTGGGGGTGTGAAGGAGAGAAGGGCCAGGAAAGACAGAAAGGCAGATGGTAGGTGATGAGCAGCCAGGGCTGGATAAGAAAAGAGAGCAGTTGAAAGAAAATGGGGAACTTACCGAGATTGGCTACAAAGGCTAGAAAAGCCTCAAAGTGCTGCCCCTTGAAGATGGATTCACTGTATCAGGAGCCTATAAACCCTGTAAAACCAAAAGAAAGAACGGTCAGGAAGGGTAGGGCTGAGGCAAGACCTGTGGTTACTAACTCACAAATGACGAAGAATAGGAAGATTTAAGTCCACTACTAAACAGCATTCCTATAAACACTTCAACCAAAATGCTTAATCAATTATTCGGTCAAAGTCCATGGTACTCAATTGTTCCCTTTTTGTGACAAATCCCAGAGAAGTAACCTCAATCTGTTACCCTTTGCGAAACTGCTGATTCTGGGTGGCCTCAGAAACAAAGCTGCAGCACACGCATTTTGAGGAAGGAAAGTAAAAATGTAACCTCAGGTCCAGTGTTTTGGGAACTGAACGACTTTGGTTGCCAGCTCCAGGCTCCTTTATCTCTTCCGTCTCAAATTAGGAAGAAAAACCTGTTCTCCCTGACTGCATTCCTTTTCAAAAATTTTCCTTTCTCATACCCAGATGGTGCCCTTTGAACTTAAAAGCTAAAGAACTTTGTTCCCCACTGTAAATCGTCCCCAAGGCCACGTTGCTTTTCCATTTAGCTGCCAAGCTGGGGAGAATTGGCAGTTATACTGGACAATTAGGACTTTGAAATATTATCCCAGCACATATGTAACAGGTTAGCACAGCGCCTGGACACGAAAGGGAGTGCCTTCCTTCCCTCTGGGCACTAACCTAGGCGGGTCTAGTTGCATTTCTACCACCGAGATAGGGGAAAGCTGGTGTCCTAAGAGGGGATAGATACAGAAGAAAAGAAAAATATGAAAGAATGTTGCTGGACTCTTATTTTAAAATTCAGTTTTAGATTGATAAGTCATTGAGCAAAGCCTGAAAAAAAATCAAAGGGAGAAAAAGACGACAGGAAATGAAAATATTAATGCTGAAACCCCTAAAAGCAATCACCTTTAACTCTAGCTGTAAAACAGTCCACACTCTAAAACTCAAGTCCAAAGTATTACAGACACTGACCAAAGACCTATCACTGAACTGTCTCTATTAATAATTAGGGATGACTTTAAGTTTTTCCCTAGCACTTTATTTAGTACAATCCAATCTAGGTGTATCTCCTAGAAAAAATAAGCAATAGCAGGGCTGTTATTTATATAATCTGTGAAAATAAGCATTATCCCACTCTTCTAGTCCCTGAATAAAACCAGACATATGGTGGGTATTAAAAAGCAAATGTAGTCTATCGCAACTTTGTAAATTTTTGTTTGATTCTTCATGGAACCTCTCACTTAAAGGGAATTTTCCTGCTTCAGTCTTCCTTTAAGAGATGAATTCTCTAAAACACTACCCACCGCTTTCAAAATCCTTAAATCCAGAGAAAAGTGGCTCTTAAAAGTATTCAGATTAACCTGGAAATAATACGGAAGTTTAGCCAGCTAAGAAGTATGTGGGCCTTTCTAGCTATTCCTCATGATTTCCTGACCAGAAGAGAAAATAACTTCTAGCTTCACCTTGAGCTAATAAGTCAAGAGAAATTTGAGCCAATGTTTAAAGAGGACATACATAATCCAGGCTGTTATACCGAAAAGAGAATTGTATTGGATTTGGTTGAGTTTTCAGAGTTTGATGGAAAGACTAGATCAGGGATCAGAAAGATGTGGGTATTAGTCTTAGATATGCAAACTTGAGCAGTACCTCTCTGATTCTCACTTTCCTCATCTACAAAATAGGATAAGAGAATCCATTGGGCCAATCTTTATTTTATGTGAGAATTTCATAACTATAATCAGATATACATTATCATTCACAGTTAGAGGGTATTCATTCAACAGACTCATTTTGAGAGTTCCACCTTCCAAAAGGATTTTATTCCATTTAAATGTTTATTATCATTGGGTGTAGCCAAAACCTCTGGTGTCTCTGGAAGTAATAAGAAGGGTTAAATCTCAGGTATCACAAAGCTTGCTTTATTCCTCTGACCTCTAAACCCTTAATTCTGGAAGTCCTGCCTATCCTCTCCATGCAGACAGCTTGATCTCACTTGGGGTAGGGAAAGAGATGCTTCTAAATTTAGTCTAAGTGGATTTAACATATGGCATCATACCTTCCCGGGTCAAGAGGTCCCTGTGTTTCTGGAAAACTGGAAGACAGATTTTGCTGGGTGGTAGAAATTGGAGAAGGAAGACCATTCAACTATTTGGAGAAAAACAGTGACTTGAGGATGTGGGGTTGCTTTAAACTAAATTTCTAAAAGAAGGCTATGCCCTAATGCTAAAAAGCCTTCTTGATTTAGGCCTTTGAGATATTTCCCTGATGGCATTTAAGACATATTAAATTATTTGGCATTTGGTCCATGTGTGAAATGGACTCAGCTCTAAGTGAGTTACTCAGCCTTGGACTTGGTAAATTATCTTTATTGGATTTGAGGATAAAAATAAATAGAAGCACAAGGAGGGTTAGAATTGAGGTTTTCTTTTCCAAAGCCAAAGGCTCAGAGTCAATAAAAAGTCAAAAGATAAAGGCATAAGAAAAAACAACAGCAACAGTGAAATTAAGACTTTTAAATTGGAAACAAGTTTTTTTTTGGAAACAATTTTTAATAAAACTGTGATTCAAACCTTATAAGCTTCTTATTAAAAAAGACCTGGCTTCAATTTCAGGTGAGCATGGGTGGCTTCAGATCAGCAATGACAGTAATGTGTATTTCGGTGAACTTCAAATACTCATGAGGGAAAAACAGGTATGACCTGCCATATTTCCTTATGGCTTAAGTAAGGCATCAGGATTCATGCTCTTATGTCTGTCTGGGATATCCACGATTACTAACATTCTTATAAGTGTTTTTTTCCCTCGTTGCACCAAAGGCATAAAAGGACTCCAAGAAAAGAGCAGCTTTCGAGACAGAGCTGAAATGGTGTAAAATCCAAAATGAAGGTGTATATTTGGTTCTGTGCAATAAAACGATGGCAGTAAGTGTCATTGTAAACTATGTGAACACTGCCATCTAATGCATTGCTAAAACTCAGCAAGTGCTTTGGAAAGTTTTGCTGGGAAGCAAGAGAAACAGAAAATAACCACCTAATTAAGATCACTACCGTCAGGATTTTACTTTACATTAAATGGAATACAGTATTTACATAAATCATGGCTCTTGTGCCTTACTTTTCAGCACACCAGCAGTACTTGTTTTCTGAATACCTCTATCTTTTCTCATCTTCCAAGAATAGATTTTTTTTTTTTTTATCTTACCAGTGCTGTGTAGCAAATAGTATTTAAATTAAGACCTTTTCTATCTGAGGGCTGCTTTGTAGCTTGGAGAAAACAGGTCATCAAAACATATCAATTGAAAAAATCCAAAGATCTAGAAAAGATCCACCAGTGTGTCTTTATTCAATGTGGGATGTGATTAAAACGTCAGATGTTGTGTTAGAAGCTATCAACCCTGTATCCACCATGGCCATTTTCATTGCTTCAAGACTATTTAGAAAAAAATTTTTTGAAACCCTGTTCACCATGGTTGAGCTAAAAGAAGCATATCACACACATGTACACACACAAACACACATACACACACACACACACACAATAAAACTATCATAACTTCCCCTAATCTTTACATAAGGAATATTTGGGGAAAAAATACTTAAAAGATATATCAACCACTTCTAATATTAGCACTTTGCAAAAGGGCTCTACTAAAACTTCAAATGAGCCTGGCACAATCATCTATATAAACTCTATAAGCAAGTAAGTTGAAATAATCCTGTATTCTTTGGTTTCACTGCCAGGAAATAGCTGAAGGTCATCTTGCTGCAACAATTCCCACCCTGAAGAAACTGCAAATCACATTGACCAAGAAAGGATGAGTAGTGGGGCAAAGGAGAGAGGGTGCAGTAAATCTGATAAGTTTGGGGGTAAACTGCAGCTGAGGTGAGTCCTTCATGGTAGCGAAAGATATGTGAGGGGCAAGACAGTTGTTTATACAGACAGTGGTAGAATGTTTAGAAAATGATTGCATTTGCGCTTCATTAATTCACTCAGTTTGCTGAGCTGAGACCAAAGAGTGATGGAGAGATCAATGAGATGATGTCTCCATGTTTTAAAATTTCCACCCCAGTAGGAGAAAGAAGATATCTTCATAAATACATAATATATGTACATATTATATGTATATATTTTTACATAAATATACGTGACATAATATGGCTCACAAATACATAGTATATTTGAAAAGAGTTTAGTAATTAGCAGAGTAGATGCCCAATAATTATATTTTTGAACGTGTGGATAACTATTTGGATAAATGAATAAATGGATTTATGAATTAGTGTCCTAAGAGAGGTTATGGGAGTTCAGAGAAAAGACAAATGATTTCTGTTAATTTTGGTAAGCTGGGGAGTGGAGACAAGTTATAGGAGTTTAAGAAAGAATATAAAATATAGTTGGGATTTGTGCAGCACATTGAATGATTGTTAATATAAACCCAGGTAGTGACAATAGTAAGTAAGGCCATTGGAGGCAAGAAAGAATAATAAAGGCTTGGAGACAGGAATTTATTCTGAATGAATGCATTTCTGTTTGCCTGATGATCTAAAGATGAGGTGGGGAATTTCTTCCCACCATATACAAAAATTAGCTCAAAAGAGATCAATGATCTAAATACAAGACTTAAAACCCCGAGAAGCAAACATGGAGGCAAATCTTCATGACACTAGATTTGACAATGAATTCTTAGCTATGACACCAAAAGTACAAACACCAAAGTTTAAAATAAATTGGACTTCAGCAGAAATTTAAAACTTCTGTGCATCAAAGGACATTATCAAGAAAGTGAAAGGGCAACCAACAGAATGGAAGAAAATACTTGTAATTCGTTTATCTGACAAGCATCTGGTAAATAGGATATACAAAGAACTCTTGAAACCCAAAAAAAAACAAAAGGATAAAAAACACAGTTAATGAAGGGCAAAGGACTTAAATTAAATAAACATCTGTCCAAAGCACACGAAGAGATGCTCGACATCGTTAACCATTAAAGAAAAGTAAATTGAAGCTGCAGTG